GTGGATCTGAATCCTTCCAGATTTTCAAAATTCAGTTGGACCAGGCCCTAAGCAAATTGATCTAACTTTGAAATTTGTCCTTGACTCAAGTAGAGGTTCATAATAGTGATCTTGAGCATTCCAACCTAAAAAGTGCATCTGCAATGGCATTGCAAATGGTGTCATGATTCAGTCAATTGATACTTAGTGACATTCTCTACACAGCTTTCATCCTTATTTTTTGTTCCAGGTTGCTCTTACCTATAAGTTCTATAATTCCTGAATGAATATCAAAATCCTGAGTGGCAAGAAGAGAATCTTTCTTTTGACTGTAATACTTCATTATAACATCAAAAAGAATCTTCTTGTATGTATTCAGACTGCTGGGGCTGTTAGTGCTTTGAGGTAATTGTTGATTAACCATCACTAGGAATTGGTCAGGAAAACACTCCAAGCATTCAATTGCAGCATAGAGCCATCTGTCAAGCCTGTAGAAGGAAAAGGTCATTTTAGTGCTTGCTTTAAAATGCTTTACCTATTTTTATTTTCACAGATTCATAGAACATTCTGAGTCAGAAGGGACACACAAGGATCAATGCATCTAATTCTTAAGTAAATGGGATTGAATCTGTTACCTTGGTATAATTAACACCTGCTCTAAACAACTGAGCTATCTCAGGATCGATTGAATCCTTTAGAGAAAACTAGATAAAAATAACCATGCAGGTATAGTCACATATATGAACCACAACGCTTAACTTGTATGTTAATCAGTTTGTGTAACTTATTTCACTTTGAGCTGTTCAAGAACCTGCTCAAAATGAGCAACTTCCATGTTTTTCCTATGCTAAAGGCAATAAACCAGAGATAAACCCAGATCAAAACAAGTATCATGCAATCATGCCAGATTGTCACTAACCCCAGGAATTCACCTAGTATTTAAAAACCAAACACCACCCCATCATTACTCCAACACACATACTGAGAACCCACCAGGGTGAAAAAACCTGATCTTTACAGGAGAAAAAAAGACAGTTAGTTTGAAAAAAAGAGGAAAATAAAATTTGGTTAAATCCCAGAGGACTACAGAAGCAGTTTATTATATAACCTACTATAAAGGCATGAGTTTTCACAAGCAGCTGTTGTCCCTATATCTTAACTAAGGAAAGAAAATGTAACCTAATTATGCACCTAAAATTCAGGTGCATAATTTATTATTGAAAGAAGCCAGAAGATCAGAGAAAAAAAGTCTCAACCATTTTGTACAGAAGGACTATAAAATCATAGAAATGTGTGGGACAGATAAACAATTACTTTTATCTGATTCTGGATGTAAAATAACTTGATCTGAACCAATGATAAGTTGTAAATATTATTTAAGATCCACAGAATCTTTTTATCATGGCGAACAGAAGCAAAGATTGTGAAATTGCAGATAAAAACAGTATTAATTTGACAAAAATAGTAATTCCTAAGACATTCACATGAGCTTTGACATATACATTAGAAGTATATGCAAGACAGAAATCAGCCTAATCAACACTAAACAGGAACACCACAAAAGTAGAGAAGATTTAAGGAAAAGAACACTGACAACATGCAGCCACTTTTATATTCTCATTATATAAGCATTATTCAGTGCTACAGCTTAGTTTCTCCTTTTCTCTTGCTAATAATAGATGCCTTACTGACTTTCTATCTTCACACCATGCCCACTAGGAACCATGACAAACAAACAAAAACAGTCAGAATAAAGCTTTCAAGTTCTGATGTTTGTTATAGAGACCTAAGAATAAAGAATCTGGTCTAGAAACTAGGAGGGTTTACAACATTCAAGGTTAAAGTTGTAATGTTTACTTGAAATACTCAAGTGTCCAACTCTAAACATACACTTTTTGTAAAATCACTTACCACTTCTGAAAAGAACGCAATCACACTAATGCCACCTCTGCCCACAAGTACACAAGCATAATGTCTATTTGTTCATTTAACACAAATTCTTTGATCAAGTGTAAAATAAAGCCTTTACTAACAAATTCAGTTCATAGATAACTTACTTGGGCAAGTTTAAGCTACACGTAACCTCTCTGTCCAGGAAAGTATTTGAGATAATCATGTCTTCTTCTTTGCCAAAACTGTCTGATTTTGTCTTCACTGAAGACACCAAGATATCTTCTAGAAGGGGAACATCAATTAACTGCAGCAGTCTTAGCAGAGTTTGCTGTTTCCAGACATCTTCTATTACTGATACAATAAACAAACAAAAGACCATCAGAAATAAGATCTTATGTAAACAACTAACATTTGTTTTTACTCACTAAAGAATCTTTTAAGTATTCAAAGAAAACATGGTAACAGTATAGTTTGAAGTTGCTGTGTTGGGTAAGAAGGGATCAAAATAGGAATGTTAAAAAGTCTCCCCCATCATATTAGGATTCAGAATAAACTAATTAGTAGAAGGAAAAAAAAGACAAGTGAAAAGCAAAGGACACACATAATAAAGATAGTCTTAATCTTAAGACCGACTTCTGAAGTAGCGTTTTCATAAATAGCACCATTATACAAAAACATAACCCTGTTGTGTTTCCTTCTGTTTAGTTACTGCAAGCATTAACCCCGTTAACACTCATTTAGATATTTTGTCATTACTGACATGTTAAATCTAAGTCTCTGGGGAGCATTGTTTAACAGAAATGGGGCACTTGCTCGAAGATACAGTGAAGAACAATCAAGTTTTAAAAAGAAAAATTCAATCCTCACCTCCCTTTGAAAGCAGGCAAGTTGGTTCATTAAACATGATCTTTGGAGGTAGAGATGCATGAACATATATTGACTGAAGGAGCTCCTCAATCCTCTTTTTATCAGCTGCTTCCAATGCTAAGGGGTTTGCAAGTGTTGTGCCACACTTTGTTCTGCTTAGGGAGGGGAAAAAAAGATGTATAACAAACACGTTTGTTTTTCTGTTACTTACTAAATTGCTCTTAAATCAGAATTTTAGGGCTTCATTATATCTGGAGTCTATCCTGCTACTAGAATTCCTCTCATCCACATCTGCTTTGTGGAAAGGGCAAGGATATTGATTCCAAATAATGCTTGCTAGTTCCATTTTGTTAACTGGCTTTCAGTAACTAGCTCATTTGTGCTAAGTCTCAGATTTCAGCACAATTGATAGCAAAACCAAATTATTCCTAGGCTTATGCTACTGTGCCAGACTCTATTCCAAATAACAAATGGCAGACCAAAATACTTTACTCAAAAATACCTGGAAGCATCTACAATTTAGACATGACATTTCTGAAAACTGGCACAGACTTTTCAAAGTCTCCAACACCTGGTTTAGTCAGGTAAACCTTCATTTAAAGGTAACCCCCCTTAACTTCTTTTAAAAAAGAGAAAAATTAGACTAGTTCAGAATAACTCACTTGGAACATGGTTTTGTTTTCTGTTTGCAGATTTGCTCAGGAGACAAGCTTCCGTTGTCCTTATTCTTTCTTGGAAGTAGAGGATCAAGACTGCTATTTACAAATCTGTAGAGACTAGTGTCCGTGTCTTCAAATTCTGTTTCCTTCCCATTCTTGAATAAATAAAGCCTGGCTCCAACTGGCTCAAACACTTTGTGATCCATCAACGCTTGGCATACACGGACCCCCTTCAGCCGAGAAATATCGTTGCAGCTTAGGTACATGCTTTGCATAAGATGGCTCAGTACCACATCAACAGCATTGGAGCCGGTGAAACAATTTCTATATGTTTTCAGGTGCTGTCTACGTCTTTTGATTTCCACTTGATTGTGAAGGGCATGTATAATACTGTTCCACAGCTGGGTTGCTTGAAAAGGACCATCGCAGTCTGCAAAGTATTTATATGAAAGTTTTACAAATTTGTAGACTTTTACCTTAATACTTAAAAAAATACACTGTGTTTTTAATTTTATATTTAAAAAAATTCAGAAATCAGCTGAGTTTTATAAAGACAAAGATAATATTTCATAACACAGTCCTTCGTGTAAGCTGACTCACACCCACTATGGCAGAGCCAAGAGAAGAGAACAAAAATCCACTAAAAAGGTGAGGGTTTTTTTGTCATTGTTATGACCACACATTTTATGAATGCGCTATGTACATACGCATTAGGTCACTAGAGAATCACAAAACAGCCGAGGCTTGCAGGGACCTTTGGGGTCTACCTGGTCCAACCTGGTCCAACCTCCCTGCTCAAGCAAGACCAGAACTGGTCGCCCAGAACCAGGTTTTGAGTATCTCCAGATGCTGAGATGTCCACACACGATATCGCAACCTCGCTGGGTACCACTAAAGAGTCTGCCTCCATCCTCTTTGCACTCTCTCTTTAGATACTTGCAGAGACACCCCCGAGCTTTCTCTTCTCCCGGCTGAGCAGCCCCAGCACTCCCAGTCTCACTGGGGGAGGCGCTCCGAAGCCCCTAGTTTATGCTCACACATCGCGCAGACGTCAAAGAAGTGTCGGTAATGCATTAACCGCGCCTGCCTCCCGGTCGAAACACCCAGCCCAGCTCCCCGCCCAGCCCTCACAGCGGCATTCCCCGTAAGCTGAGCTCCAGGGGTACGGCCGGAGGAAGCTCCTCTCCCCGCTGCTCAGCTGCCGAGCCTCCCTAGCCCAGTTCTGCCCGCCGCCCCCTCCCGCGGCACCGGCAGCCGGGGTGCCACCACGGGCAGGCGCCGACCCCTCGCAGCCCGCTCCGCTCCGCTCCCCGGCCCCTCCGGCTCTGCGGGGGAAAAGCTGTTGCAGCGCAGAGACGAAGATGACGCTCTTCGCCCACCTCGGCGCCGCCCGCTCCCCCGCCGCGGCTGCAACTCGCTCTGGCTGCGGATCCTCCTGAAGCGCGGAGTCAAATACCCCGCCATGGCCGCGGCCGGGCCGCTGGCGGAAGCCGGCGGAGCGCATCACTTCCCGCCCGCCGCCCCGGCCGCGCCCAGCGCCGCCCCTGCGGGTCGGAAGTGAGCCGAGCTCCGGCCGCCCCCGCCCCGCCGCCGAGCTGCCGCTGTCACTATGGAGTAGCCGCGGCAGGACGGGGTCCGAGCGAGAGACGGAGCCGGCGTGACAGGCGGCCCGCCGGGCCCACAGGACGACGGGCAGCCGGGCGCTGCGCCGGCAGCTTCCCGCGGGCTCAGGTGAGAGGCCGCGGCCCGGGTCGACAGCGGCTGCCCGTGGCCTGGGGGCGCTGCGCGGGGCGGGCAGGGCCGGCCGGCTCCGCGGGGCGGTGGTGTCGGGTCCCGGTGCCCGGCGCGGAGGGCTGGAGGGGAAGGGCCGCCCCGGAGGCTCGATCGCCGCGCGGGCAGGGCCGGGAGGGGAGCGCTGAGCCGCCCGAGCCGGCGGATCGCGGTCACCTGCCGCCTGTGGCCGCGGCCCCGCGCGCTGCTCCCGGCTGCCCCGCGGAGCAGGGAGCGCAGCACCGGCCCCGCGGAGCGGTGCGAGTCCGTCGCGATGTAAATAACAGTAAATACTTCGTCCGGGAGGACTGACCCGCAGCGGGGTTTGTGCAGCGCCCGGGCTGGGTTTCACCTGTCACCAGGCGACAGGCAGAACAGCCCTGCTCATGGATCTCGTTCCGTGAGGTTTTGGTAGGGATTCAGCTGAAGCTCAGAACCGAAATGGTGCATGAAAGTTAAGAAGGTGACGTGCGGCTAGAGCAGCCTTGCACAGTGCTTCATTGCATTTGACCCTCTCGATGTTTTTGTAACAAATGCAAAAAGACTCGTTTTGCTTTAAAAATGCTGGAGTTTTGTCTTTTTGTTTGCTGTTGTTCAGTTGTTCCAGCACTTAGTTCTTTGGATTGATCCTTGCCTGGGGCAGGTGGATAGGATGCGGGGGGGATGGCATGAAGTAGCTGTGCACCAGCCAGCATGCTGGTCTTGGTTCCCAAAGGGGGATCCCAGCTTGCTGTAGTTCAGAATAGCGGTAGTGTATGTTGTACTGCTGTACAGTGTGCACCCACAGCCCTACATCAGGTGAAGCTACAAATTAGTTTGAGGATAAATTGCTGGGTTTGCATTATGCAGGTTTTTTTATGAGTGAGAATTGAAAAATGTTGTACAGTCTTTGCTTTGGATTTCAACAGCCTGTATTTCAACATTTTGAATGTTTTGCCTTCTTTCTGAGTGCAGTGTTGGTGTTGCTTACTACCTTGCTAAGTGATTGTTCTCATCATGCTGCTGTATGATTGCTGAGGTACATCAGCATAAAAACCATTACTGATTGTGAGGGGCATTCATGAAAAAACATATTGAACATTCAGAATTTTTTAGGATTAGTTCCAGGTTTCACGGACTCAGAATCAGTAGCATTAATATTACTCGTGAAATTCAAACAGGAAGAGTTCTTAAACATTTATTGCATGTCCTGTGTTGCTTATCTAGACACTTCAGATTTTGTATTTGTCTCATTTATTACCTTCTAACTTGAAATGCAAATTTCATTGTGGGTGACTGACTTTATTGCTACTTGGTTGTTTTTTGGTTTTTTTTTGGAAATACTAGACCAGTCTTAACTGAACAAGCAAGTTTTCCTATAGTTAAGCAAGTTCCTATAGTTATAGACTTGTGTATTTCAGATGTGGTTAACTTGTCATGATTTGTGGTATTAGAGGTACTATCCAAAACAGATATTTTTTGGTGGGGTATGGATTTTCTAGCTACATTGTTCCTGTTGACATATATAGATTTTTTACTGAAGAAATTGTTTTTATGAAGCAAAATATACTATTTTAGCTTACATTCAAATGTTGATAAGAGGATTTCTACAAATTTACAGTTAGGTGGATGTAAACTTTAAACCCCATCTGCTTATTAAGAAATAAGTTCCTTGGTACTGCTTGCTCAGAAACTAAATTAAACAGTAGTTTGCCTACTGTCAAGCTGGAGGGGAACAGGTTGGACAGGGTCTACCAGGCTTGAATTCTAAATTCTAGCACTTCAGATATTGGAATGATGTTGACATTCTCATCTAGTGGCTTTTACAGGCAACTCACTGCAGTAAGTCTGTCACCCACAGCAGAGGACACTTCTAATTTAGTGAATACTACACCATTTTCCCACCATCTCTGTAGAGAAGCTTCCTTTCAGATTTGCACAAAGGAATTTGAGCATGCATGCACATGCATTTTTTCGTAATATTTCTGCAGTTAATTTTGCAAAGTGTGTTATTAGTTTTGAGAGTCCTAACAAGATGGTGTTGCATTGGTACTAGAGAAGATTTGATGGCTGGGAGTGAGCAAAACGATGGAAAAAGCATGAGATCTAAACCCAAGTAAATTAGATTTGGGATTATCTGAAACTCATTAGGATTGATTTTATAGTCTTTTAGCATATAGAGTTTGCCCACAGAATAGCTGCTGAATAAAATTGCTGAGAGCTGGAAATGCCTATAGCTCCTTTTTAGAGTAATCCATGATCCTTGTTTATACCTATTTATCAGGTTAATGAAACGTTTCTTTATACAGGGATGTTAGCCAGTGTCTTCATAGGAGTTTGGTGTAGGGCTGCACAGTGAGGACTTGCATGTATTTTTCCAGATCATGAATCATAAAGGAAAATTAATTTCTTGTAATAATATATCTTTCTGGTTTTTTTTGCTGTTTGTTTGCTGCCTTCATTCTTTCATGTGTATACATTATGTATATGTATAAATGGGACACAGGCTTCAGAACTTGTGTCTGTCAGAAAAAGCAAGTCAGATTTATTAAGGAAATGCAGAAAACTCTGAAAGGCCGCACTACAGGGGAAGATTAAGTAAATTGGAAGCTGCCACAGTCTTTTAGCTTTAAAACTTGAAAGGTGGTATGGGAAAAGCTTCCTTGCACAATTTTGGTAAAGCATAAAAAGATGGTTTCTTGTTTCCTTCCCCTTCACTTAATATTTAAGTTCATTAACAGCTGCATCATGCAAATGGTAATGTCAGCAGTCTGATGGGCAAAATACTGAATTTTGAGCTTGTATTTTGAAAAGCATTGCTGTTTTTTACTTGCTGTCTGTATAATACACATCCATCATTTTGCTGGTCTGGGAATCTTAAGCAATCCTTCGCTCCAGACAAATGAGTAATTCTGTGAACACTGGAATTAAAGGAGTCTGTTTTCCTTCAGATGTGTTTATCTTTTTGATGGATACTAATAATAAGGTGTGAAACTTTCCTGTCCTGAGGGACAGTATATAGATCCTTTGCATTATTTGATTACAGTTTTCAAGAAATGGTTAAATTGAGAGGACTGTGAAACCTTTGTTTTCTTGTCTTTATAGGGTAAGCCATTGGTGCAAATTGAAACCATGGAGTCCATGCTGAACAAGCTGAAGAGCACCGTCACAAAGGTGACGGCTGATGTCACCAGTGCAGTCATGGGAAATCCCGTCACCAGGGAATTCGATGTCGGGCGGCATATTGCCAGTGGAGGTAATGGTCTTGCTTGGAAGATATTTAATGGAACTAAAAAATCAACAAAGCAGGTGAGTTATCGAGTAAAGACCTGTGTTTATAAATGTTAGATGACAGATTGATTGGTAGCAGTTTGTAAGTGGCAGTTAAAGTTAGGCTGGACAGACTCATGTTAAGGGTAGTGAAATGACACAAAGAGCTCAGCACTATTTAGGTACATTGTTCTCAGCTATGTAAATAAGTGATACATGCTTTAAGCCTTTTGTTGGAGAAAGAAGTAGTTCTGTATTCATAGCATACAATTTGGAACCAAGATCAAGAATTTATCTGAGTTAAAAGTGATCTGACAAGAAGGAAGAAGTTTGCTTTACCATAGATTGATTCCCCAGTTTGTTCAGTTTGTTGCTGTTTGCAGGGGGTTTTTTTTGGTAACAATTCTGGCTTTTTACAGTTTAAAATAGCTATGAAGTATGTCATCATTTTTTGTCAGCAAACAACACTGTAGTTTTTTGCTCAGCTACCATACAGAAATTGAGCAGTTAGAAACATTAAGCTACGAGATGCTGTAACAGGAAGGCATGGGATAGAGGAGGAGGTTGTGAAAGAAGTTATTTATGCTTTCCATGTGCTGCTATCAGATCAGTGTTGCTCCTTTTTAGTTTCCTTAAAGTATTACGGTTTAGAGCACCAAAACTCAAACTTTTGACTTACTTGAAGTCACATGTGTAAATTAATATGGGACTGTCACTTCAGAAGAAGGTTTGCCAAAAGAGTTTTAAGAATTTTTATTGCAGAAAATTACTTTGTTACACTGGAGAAATGTGAAAAGTATTTTCAAATTCAGGGAGGAAATACAATTTTCAAAGTGTAAATAGAAGTGTTAATAAGTTGCAGTCTTGAGGTAATTGTAATGCTAAGTGATGTGAAGTTATTTAGACAATGCATCAGTTTGCTGCACATGTACCAGAAAGAAATGGACACAAAGGAATGCCTTTGGAAAATGTTTATGCCATCTGTTAGCTCATAGGCAAATAAACATTATCAAATAGATATATATAATACACAGAATAAATAATCTGCAAAGAATGTGTGATCTGATTCTGTGTGACAGAGTTTGAATAATGTTTAATCAGGTACTTTTGCCATGTTTTCATGCATTTTTTTAGCTGTCGCAGAGCTCTGTGCATCTTTTATTTACTGATTTTACCCAGCATAGCAAATGTTTGGGGCTTTTTTTTTTTTTGGTTTTACTCAGCTATACAAAGTGATAACATTGGAAGCTTGATAATTTTGATAGGTTTTATACAATCTATGTTCCTAGTAAGCATTTGACCTGTAGCAGGTATGTCCTTAAGGTCTGGAGAGTTGCAGCAAGTTTCTTTCACTGTATAGTTGACAGAGTATATGTAACCAGGTTCCTGTCAATCGCGTTTTCCAAGCCTTCAGTTGGGTGTTCTGACCAACAGTTTTACAGAGTTTTAGTTCAGGTGCTCCATGTGGTCCTGCAATATATCTGTAAACCCTGAATAACCTCTGTGCAGCTGTATGCCATCATTAATAATGGAAAATACAGCAGCAGTTGTACTACATGGAATTTCAGATGGCTGGTCTTTTGACATGCAGTTACCAGTCATTATTAACATAACCAGTTAGGTAACATCATGTCAACATTCACTTTGTCATTGCAAAACAAATTGTGCAGCAATGCAACTTATGGTGTGTTGTACTGCAATATATGTTCTTTAACATTATTATTTATTTCTCTCCCATGTACCCTCTGAATGTTCTTTGGGCTAGCTGTCATTTTCCAGTGATAGCAGTCACTTTTGTGAAGTTGCACATATTTGCTGTATTACAAGTGTGTAACCTGAAGCTATAAAGTTTTTTTGCAATGTGTATTGTAATCAGACAAGCAAGATGTAAGGGCTTAATTAAGCCCTTTGTTGTCACTTTGCACAACACAAGTAATAGTTTAGTTGTTTTATCTGTCTACAATGACTTAAATTTGGAGGTTTTAACATTATAGTAGTCAGAAATCATTGTTTTCAGGATTATTTTTGTTCCTATTTTGAGCCAACGGGCAGTTACAAATACTCCATCTCTGGTGGCAGTAGATATCTGTAACTTTATTCTTCTCTTTCAAGGGCTGCCTGGTTCCTGCCTTGCTGCTTTTCCAGGATTTCTGAATATTTATCTGTTACTTTTTTTTTAATGTACCTTTTTTTTCCTTGCGTACTGTGTAGGTGACTTAGTAATAACCTAACAGAATGTGAGGAAATTATTTACCTGTGCATATGTTTGTCTGGTGCTATGTCATAGCTGATCTGCTGTTGTTTGTTGCAAAGATTTATGAGTCACTCTGGTTATATATAGATGTATAATTTCACAGTATGTATTTCAGCTCATCTTTGATTTGTTAACTTAGACTTTATGCACTTACAGGTTTTTTTTGGCACAATATGGCACTCGTCCTTCTGCTTAGAAAGTGTAATCATAAATAGATAGGCTAAGGTCACAAAGCACTTGCCAGCTGAGTTGTAAAGCTAGCAGAATTCAGAAGGTAAATCCCAACAACAAAGCTACAGACAGTCAAGAGGGAGCTAATGTCCTTGAGTCGTCTAGTTAAGAATCTGAAGCACAAATTGTGTTCTCTTCTGCCAGGAGCAGGAAATTATGAGTCTATACAAACCATGCAGGATTGTGGCAAGCACCAATAGCACTTACTTAGACCCATCACAAAATATTCAAGCCATAGCTGATTTAAATACTCACTTTCTGATTTTTTTCAATTGTCATCAAACAGAAGTTTTTTCAGAAGTGAAGTCTGAGTTTGAAATTTTGTTATTGGTCATGTACTGCTCAGTGTATGTCTTCCATCCTTTCATTGCTCTTCTCTGCCTTGTGTTAATGTTTGATCCATCACACCTAAAAGCTGGAGCAAGGAGCCAGTATGGATAGAGGCAGGAAACAGAGTTAGTTACAAGTATTCACCTGCCAAGGGCTTAATGAAAATAGCTAAAAAACAATTTTTTTGTGTATTGGGCTGAATTTCATATTGTGGATAGCCTATTTGTAAAAGTTCATAGGGTTTTATTTAATTAATAATGAAGCTGTTCCTGTGAGATTTTAATTAGAGTAATGGTTATAAAATGTGCAGTAAAAGAACATCGAGTTCCTCTTGGGACTGCAAACTGTATTTTCATATTATTTTCTACTGCTTTCTAACCTTTATTATTCTTACTCATAATGCTGTTGTAGCAGCAAATAAAAGTCTGTTTAATGATGAAAGTTTTTAATTTCTTTTTTTCATCAGTTGATACATTTCACATTAATAACTTCCCAGATGGTAATGTAATCTGATTTTTTATTTTACATTGACCTCTGTAATTTCAAATTTTCATACAAATTTCTTAATTATCTCCTGCTCCAGTGTCAGAAGTTGGGGAGGATTTCTCTGTTTTTAACATTTTTGTGGCTTCTTTTTGCACATCTTTAAGTATTACAAAATTCTTAATGTTTTATCATGTGAATCGTCTGATCAGTTAATAGACTACTGTGACTGTTTTGTCAGATCGTACTGGTTTGGAGCAGAACACTGAGACAGGACCTGGTTTAATAAAGCAACTCTTGATATATACTCAGAATATTTTAACTATTCATAGTTGATATAAATGTTTTAATCTACTTTAAATGAAGCTGATTTCTGACTGTGAATCTGCTGCTTTATCACTGTGTAGGTAGGGTTATAGTTTATGCATTACTGTTTATACAATAAAGGAGCATTAGTACCTTAATTCAAAATGTCTGTTTCAGAATTTATTTACAGTAACCTCATCCATGACTGAGACTAAGTAAGAAAAAGTCAGTTTCTTTGTTTGGTTATTGTATTGGTGGGACTGTACTGTTGATTCAACAAGTATATTTATATAAAATTGTGTATAGACTTAGGTTCTGGCTGTGTTATATACTGAGTGAATTCTGTTGCTTATTTTCAGGAAGTGGCTGTTTTTGTCTTTGATAAGAAGCTAATAGACAAGTACCAAAAATTTGAAAAAGATCAGATTATTGATTCCTTAAAACGAGGTGTTCAACAGCTAACTAGGCTTCGACACCCTAGACTACTTACTGTTCAACATCCATTAGAAGAGTCCAGGTAAGCTGTAGTAAAGTAGAGAGCATTTACTTTTAATCATTGTTTTGGTAGTGGATGTAAACTATCTGGAATATGCAATACATACATCTGATGAGATTCAAGTTTAGTGTATTTATTTATAAGACAAGGTATTCACCCTACCCCCATATTCCCCCCACCATAGAATGTAGTTTGGATGTGAATCAAATTTAATAATCTATTGCTTGATTTTAATCCAGTTGCAGCTGTAAGGCTACACATGACCATTACAGCATGAAAATTTGGTGCTTTAATCCATTTCGTGTTAAAGAACTCTCTTAAAATAGTTTTCTCTCAAAACGTTATTCATACATTTTGTTCCATGTATGAGATGTATTTAATACATGTGAGATTAGGGATTTTTGATAATTTGTATGTGTGGTAACTAAATATATGTTGAAAAGGCCCTCAAGTACCAATCGAGGGAGACAAAATCCAGCATGTTCTTCAATATTGCCTATTTGATTTATGGAAGGTTGGTCACTAGGGAAAATAGCTGGTTAGTCTTGCAGATTTATTGTTCAGCTGTAGGGATAACAACGTACTAAAATTTAAACGAGGTTTCATATTAAAATAGGAAGCTGATCCTCATACTTCCAAAGAAGATCATGGAGGTTTTAGGGTTTTATTCCCCAAAGAGGAAGGGAGTTGGACTAGATATTTCCAGAGGTGCTTTCTAACCACAGCCGATCTGTGATCCTAAATTGTAGCCTGATAAAGATTCATGATATAATGTCCTTCCTTTCTGTGTTGACTTTTCCCAAATGGTTTCTAGGAGCTGAGAATACCGTAGGAATGCTTCTTCATCTTTGCAATGCCTGCTTTGAAACAGGTTTATTGGATTAAGTTGCACTTGCATATTCATATCTATCTTTCCTCCAGTGCTAAACAGATTTCACATTAACAGTGGTTCAAAGCTGTCATTGCACCTGTGAGCTAGTATGTCCCTTACTATGGCCTAAAGAAGATAAATTAGGTAGTTGAAGACAGCTCTCAGTATGCTACAATAGTAAATAAACTATTATGTGCTAAATGGCCTAGGGTCATCTCAAATTATAGTGTGTGCAAGTGAATCCCAGAGTATACCTCAGGCTTCTTCCTAAAATTGTCACAGTTTTCAAGTTGACTCAGCAAATTTTCCCCTGAACTTTGCCCTTCAGAAGAAAACATCAAGATTCATACCTTTAAGAAAGCTTTGGTGGTGTTCTTGCGAAGCATTTAAGCCTTTTGAGTAAAAGTAACAGTGCAGTTACATCAGAGTTCTTGTTTGTGAGTTTTTAGTAATGCCTTACACTTCGCTTCTACTGTTTTTGTTTCCATACTTGGCACACTTAGCTGCTGATAGAAACACCAGAAGCACAAAACCTGTACAGTTGCATGCTGTGCCAGAAATGGATGTAACAGTTTTTGGAGAAGATTAGCAAAATAAAGATTTATGTAGAATGTATGTGTGTGTAACCTTGTGCAAGCATGCTGTAAGATTGTTTTAGGATTTTGGGTCTTTCCAGAGTGCTTATCCTTGAAGAAATCTCTGATGGGCCTCTAGCTAGACTGTACTTAATCTTTTTTTTTTTCTTCTTTCGTGTTTTCCCAAAGTAACGCACAGTTGTAAAGAACTGCTTGCAGGTCACCCATTATATTTCTCCTTTATAGTGCAAATAGATACTTGATGCACCTGGAGGGCTGAAGTACATATGGAAAGAAAGGCCATACCTTTCTGACCCTAGTGTGTAGATAGTTTTTCCACTATTAATCAAATGTTTCTACTACAAATTACTGGTATCCAACATAGTTATATTTAATATAAATGTACATAATACATATGATGTTAAGCCTCTAAACATGCATTTATATGAGTAACTCCTTACTTATACTAAATATTTAATATGAATATGTTTATTTACAAGTGGTCTTGAATTCCATTAACATCACTGGAAAACATTTTTAATTTATATTTAGCTTGTTATTGAAGAAAAGGATAAAAAAAAAACAAATTATGGGTTAACTAATAATATCATTCCTACCCTTTAAAAATAGTAGTAGTATGAATTGTCCATTATAATTTACTAGACATTCATTTTTTACATTATTTCCCTGTAGAAAGCCTATGTATTTTTAGCTGTCACTTTTTATTTTTTAAAATGTTTTTATCTTATTACTCTGAATTTCATGGAGATTTTATTCAGGAAACTGTTAAGGCAGCTGCCCTGATGGCAGACATCACCTTCTGTGATACTCTGCTATTTTATTAGATTTACTGCATCTCTCCAATACTGTGGCTTGGGCCCTTTTTTTTAATTACCTCCTCAAGTAAAAAATAAACAACCATCTTTTTATTCTCTCAAAACAGCAGTAATCAGGGAGTTTGTTATGAAAACCACAGAATAACTGTTCTTTGGTATTTTCATCTGTGCCTTAACCATAACTAAATGGATAAGCTCTGTGGTAAAGTTAAAGTCAGACTGAAAAGAAAGTACTTGTCCTTCTATGTTCTCATTTTGACTTGTGTTTATAACAGAAACAAGTTTTACAACCCTAGTTATGCTAATAGAAACATGAAAAGTATGTCATTATCAGAATAGGAGGGAGGAAACCCAAGCAAAAAAATTGTCAGGTTGGCTGACACTTAGCATTCAATGTTTTTTACTTTTCAGTTGTTTTACTTCTAGAGAGGCGGTAGATAAAACCAAAGTCTGGGTGGATAATAAGAGGTTGGCATGTTTCAGTGGCCTTATTTTACTTCAAAGGTCAAGGTTGTTAATTACTGAAATACTGAAAAAATATGGGGTAGTTTCATGCTGAGACGTGTCTTCTGATGTTTTTATGGAGTGATTAAAAAGTTAGATTCTGTCTTCTTGCCTATAACTTTGTATTAAAAAATGTATCTTTGTTACTGTTACTTGGTTTGTTCTCTGTGTTCATACTGATGCAGTATTTAGTGCTCTCATGAATTAATGATCCTTAAAGCAGGTATGTGTGCTACCATCCATGTAGTGCTTTCTCAAAAAAAGCCCTTTAAACCAATTAAGGAGTGAATTGCAATGGCTGTCCAGGGCCTTCACAGCTGTGCAGAGCAGTATGAAGGATGTGGATGTAAAGAAATACTCTTGTCTGTGTCGCATGAAGTTTGTGGAATTGAGACATATATTGGTTTCAGGACCAATTTTGATACTTGAAATTTTGACAGTGTTATGACCAGTCCTTATGTATGGAAGTTTGCTTCTTCTGTGCTTTTCAAACACAATTGATGCAAAAATGCATAAGCAAGACCAGTAATTTTTCATTAAGAAAAAAAAAATCAATAAAATAATTTAGAGAACAGTCACTGCACATGCAAACTGCAGTTCATATAACAAGTGTGTATTTGTGTTTGCAGATATTCTCTATCAGTTGTCAAAGTAAAAGAATATTCAGGTGCTCCTTTATATTAATTTAGTTTCTGATTATTGTCTGACTTCATTAAGTACTGCTTCAGTCAGGGACATGTTGGTTTTAGGCATAGGTAGAAGTCTGATTTTACAAGTTGTAATAGTAGTAAGAATTATTTAATCAATTTGTCCTGGATCAGGACAAGGAAAGAATTGTTTTTTAAAAAAAAGTTATGAAACATTGTGTGAATCATTAGCAATTTATGTGAATGTTAGAGAATAAATTATCCTAATTCTAGTATTTTTTTAAATTTCAGACATTTATGTATTTCTCTTTAGTATAATATTAAAGGAATTCAAAACCTGAAATATAGCATGGCTTTTGGTAGCACCAGGTGCTTTGGCAATATATATGGTGTTTGTATGGTTCTTTAGTTATCTATATCAAGAGATATATTACATTCATGTACAAGAAATATTTCAATGCATTTCCTATACAGGGATTGCTTGGCATTTTGTACAGAACCAGTCTGTGCAAGTTTAGCTAATGTTCTTGGCAGCTGGGACAACCTACCTTCTCCTTTACCATCAGACATTAAAGAATACAAACTTTATGACGTGGAGACCAAATACGGTTTGCTTCAGGTATGGTACAGGTTATGTTTATAATTTTTTTCTGTTTTTAGTATTAATGATTTTTTTTTTAAAATGAAGTCATTACACTGCTGAAGTTTTGTCTGCCTATAGTAAATCAAACAATGGTGAGGTGAGAGATAATACTGCCCTGATCACTAAGTGTAAAAGGGGATAAACACTAGAAGCTCTAAGCTGCTACTCTTTTTTTGATTGTTCTGGCATGTAAAATAGAAACTTCAGTTAATTTTTATTTTCCATGTAAATGTCTATGCTACAGCTGTCTCTTCCATATGTGAATCTTTTCTTTACGTTCTGTTGAGAGCCATTGGTGAATATGTTGACCAGCTTCATAAAGCATTATGTTCTTCTGAGATGAAGAACATAATGAGAGGAGAGGGGAATACACCACAACATTAACACTGTGATAATTAATTAGCATTAGTAATCTCACCCATCGATTACCCATCCATGTTTAGTTTCCTTCATGCATAATTTTTAAAGCATAGGCTAAAACATGAAAAATTGTTTCTTAGTTAACTTAGGAATTTAACTGTGACCATAAGAACAGAATTTTTGTAAATGTCTCATAGGATGTTTGGGGAAATATTTAACCTGAAATAATGATCTTTTATGAACAGGTTTCTGAAGGTTTGTCATTTTTGCATAGCAGTGTCAAAATGGTCCATGGAAATATTACTCCTGAAAATATAATCTTGAATAAGAGTGGAGCATGGAAAATTATGGGCTTTGATTTTTGTATCCAATCAACAAATCCATCTGAACAGGAGGTAATAATCTTTATATTTATCATCATTCAGTTTCAAATTCAGGTCTTTTCCTGATACCAGTTTCATTATTTTGCACCCCTGTATATAAACGTTTCTGTATTTTGTTGGTCAGTAGTTAGAACATATGGCACAGGTCTGGATTGAAGCTCTGCATTTGATTGTCTCAGGCAAAGAGCCTGAGTGGGCTCAGTGGGGTCACAGTAGACTAGTGATAGTTTCAAACAGAGGCTGGAGCCTGTGCCACTTTTGCTCCCCTTCATATTGGATGACTTGCAAGTCTAACTTAGTGTGTTGCACTTATTCAGTGTCTGGCTGCTATCTTTGAAAATGAATTCCATCATAGCTCATGTTTCCTCATTACAGCAGTGCTTTGATTTTAAATTACACTTCCCAGCTCTGATATTCAGATAAAATTGCATCCGCAAATCACTCGAAGCTACAGACATTCTTAACAGTTTTGCCTTAATGTGTTGCTGTTTGATTCTTAATTGAATTTGAGGGGCTTAATTATTTTTCGCTGCTTGAGATTCTTTTTGAAAATGGTATTTAAAAATCTTTGATAAATGTACTTTGTTTCACTTATCATACTTCTCTTGTAGCCAAAGTTCCCTTGTAAGGAATGGGATCCAAACTTGCCATCCTTGTGTCTTCCAAATCCTGAGTATCTGGCACCAGAATATATTCTCTCTGTGAGCTGTGAGACAGCCAGTGATATGTACTCTCTGGGAGCTGTTATGTATGCAGTGTTTAATAAAGGGAAACCAATTTTTGAGGTCAACAAGCAAGATATTTATAAAAGCTTTAGTAGACAGCTGGACCAGGTATTTGTTCTTTTTATGGTTATTGTTTATTGATTTTCATATTTGAAAAGTTACTATTGTCAAATAGATTTAAATATTAGGAAAACTATCAGTGCTCCAACATAAACCATCTGACAATGTTATCTTACCCTGCATACTGTTGTTACAACAAGAAAAAGAATTTTAGCAAAATACGAGAAATAAAAATATGTTTAGACAAGGTTACATGTACCAACTTTATAAACTAAAAATTGCATTTTTCACCTGATTTCTCTGTTAACCTGTTGAATGCTGGTCTTGTGAAATAATGCTTAACTGTTGGGGTGAACAGTATAAAACACCTGGAAGTGAATTACATATGTAGGACCATTGAAGAGGGCTGGGTTTAGAGTGATTTGATCACTTGACATGGCAGTTGGTATCCACTTTGCTATCACTATTTCACCACTACTCTTTGTGGACTGTGAATATTAACAGAGGACAAGTGTCACAGTTAATTGGATCAACTGACATAATGTCTGTTCATATGCAGGTTTCCTTGGTTGTAACTTCTTTGGGTGCCCATTGCCACACAGTATGTACTGTGTTTTAATGTGTGCAGACAACACCTCAGATAATGACATTTGCCTGTTTAAAATATCATGTTTGTGTTGTCTGATAACCTGAACTACAGTGGGAAGTTGGAAAAACAGGGGTGGGACCTAAAAGAGGTAGACACTTGGGAAACAGAAAGACTGTGAGCAAGGGAGGGCTGTCAAATGCATGAGTAGAGAAACCATCAAGAGAACAAAGTATAGACCCTCTGTATATTGGAAATAGTTACTTGCAGGGTTTTCTGACTTCATGGTGTTCATGCTCGAATTATTTCCACAGCTGAGCCGTTTAAGCTCCAGTACTCTTGAGAACATACCTGAGGAGGTGCGTGAGCATGTAAAGCTACTCCTAAACGTAGCTCCGGCAGTCAGACCAGACGCAGATCAAATGACTAAGGTCAGTCCATGGAAAATACAGGATCCATAGGAAAGAGAGAAATTAGTGTTTGATTTGTAGAGCTATTTTGAAGTGTTTTTTGTTAATAATTTTATTTGAAATGCAAAATATTTTTTAACCGTTTAGCTGTAATGCTAGTTGATGCCAAAAGTTACCCTTATGCTGACATTTATTTATATGGAAAAAGTGGGTGCTGAGACAGAATTTAGAAAAATTATTCAGTTATTAAAAAATTATTCAATGGAACACTGTTTTCTTCCTTTCCATTCAATTGGAAGCTTTTCAGCGCTATGATTTTTTACATCTAGGACTTTAAAATTAGATTGGAAGGATTTGAAAGTAAGAAAGTTATAAAGGGCAATAAACGTAAGGATTAACTTTTAGCTTGAGATTTTGATGTATTCTTGAAGTATGCAGAACAATAAATTATATTCAGAAATAGTTTGCCCTAACAAAGCAAAATTTAATTGCAAGCAGGATATAATATAAGTTTTAATTAGGCAAAACTGTTGTTCCATTTTCCTATCTGAAAGTAGCATTGTTCTTCCCTTGTCTTATGCCCTATTTTCTTCAATCTGATAGCCTTTCAGATTCTTGCTTATAGATTTGCTTTGCTAAAGGATTTTATTCGTTTGCTGTGGTGTTAAAAGATGGTATGCAGAAATAGGAATCAGTGTTTTAACTGTTGAAAGAAACAGTGGGTGAAGAAGGGAGAGGGATCAGGTGATGGTTGTGTTCACCATTATGCTGAAAGATGGGAGTGAGGGAATTGGCAGATATTTCTCAGGTATCAACTCAAATGTCTGAAAGACTACAACAAATAAATCTGTGAGGGGTTGTATTAAGAAGTATGGTTTTATAAAGATGTTGAGTCTCTTTTACCATATCTGCACACTAAATCATAGGGTAGAGATATCAGAGGTTCCAGGGTTTTCTGGAGTTTCCAGGGGTGGGAGCCAGATGTGGATGGGTAATCCTAATAGGTAATCCTGTGTTGTAATATAATATAGCATAATTATTCCTAGAAGAATATTTATTCCATGTTTTTATTTTTCAATACTTTTTTTGGTAAGCCACTTACTGTATATGAAATAATGTTTTAACTTAGATATACATAACATGCATGAGTTTTTGAAAAATTCTAGGAAAATTCTGTCTTAATAGTCAACCTGTTTCTGAATATTTTACTACTTGGTATGTAAAAATTTAATTTTCTAATTGTTAGTTGCAGACATGTCATTGTAAAGGCTTACTGTCGTGCATTGGAATGGTAGATAGATGACTATATTTTGGAATTACTGTAGCAGTGTCAGTGTTGTCCCCCTCCAGATCACAAACTTCTAATCTTATTTTTAGATACCATTCTTCGATGATGTAGGAGCAATGACGCTTCAATATTTTGATTCATTATTTCAAAGGGATAACCTGCAGAAATCACAGTTTTTTAAAGGACTACCAAAAGTTCTGCCAAAACTACCTAAGGTATGTCTGAACGATGTGTTGTAATAGCAAGTTGTAAAATACATGAACATCTGTTAGCATTTTGACTCTTAGAATGCTGGACTTTCTGCAGCATTTTACCATAATAGACTGCTATGAGACTGTCAGAATAGAGTAGAAAGAAATAAAGGGAGATTAGAACACACTTATTCTGGAAGTATTCCTTGGCAATCAATAATACTTTAAATGGAAAATGGCAAATAAGCCAAATAAGGAACCATCATTTGCATGTCCTGTTGTAGTTCATCCCACTTTGAAAGGGAGCTGTCTGCACTTACAAGGCTTTCCCTGTGTTTCCAGATGCCATCACAGCTCTTTGAAGCCAATTTGCCACCTTTTCTTCCTATAAGATTGCTTCAAGTTTTTTCATAGCAAGGCAGTACTTTAATGTTGAATGATGCAAAGTTTCCTTCTCTCAGTAGACTAAGTGCTTTCTTGTGCTGGCAGTGCTCAGAAATCTCAAAGCTAAATGCCTGTCATTACATATTTCTCCTGTGTAGTGTTAAGCAATATGTCTAGACTGGCTCCCTTTCCTTTTGTGGTATACCTTTATTTATATAAGCTGTAATGCGTATGTGATAGAAAAGTAGGATTAGTTTAGTACATAATAGAATAGCTGAGCTTCTCAACCAGTGCATTAGATTTCTGTATTTTTAATTATGTTTTGCACTACGCTGTGCAACATTTAGACTCCATAGTTAATACTCTGTTCTTTTTAATTTAGTAATTTTTTCATTTGCTCAGAAATGATTGCTCCTTTGAATTTGGAAATAAGTGGCATGTATTTCACCTAAATTTAGACAACCGCGGATTGACCAAATTATCTTTAGGGCATTTTTTTGGGGTTTTTTCTGTCTTGAAAGTATATTTTATGAGGGAAGTTACTGTGCCCTTGAAGCATATATTTCTGTTTTTGACTTCAAAAGCATTTAAGGATGTCTAATGCTACAGTAGACATCCACAGTTTTCAGAATCCTGTTTAGGGAATATATCTGGAGTTTTGCAGGAAGGTATAGTAGATTATATGTTTGTTTATTCAGTGAATGATGGGGTCCAGAAACAAAAAATTACTAATTCAGAGGGTTTATACGGTATTTTTAAGGGTCTTGTTAGGGTATTTTTAAAGAAAGCATATGGAGTATGGTTTTCATAACTCGTGTGTGGCTCAAAGTCCTATTTTCTGTACTGTTAATTGCTTTTTGTTGATCTTCACAGTTCTTCGTTTCGAGTGCAAACAGAGAAAATTAAGCAGAGTAGTACAGTGTAAATTAACTACAGCGTACTGTGCAAATAAGAGATCAAAACTGAAAATTATCTGTCTGCTTTTTTGTAATATCAGGCTAATACAAAAGCTACTGAACTGGCACAATGGTAACTTACTGCAGTGCAGTACATGATTCATACTTGGGATTTTTTTTTTTCTTTCAGCGTGTTATAATTCAGCGAATTTTGCCTTGCTTGACTTCTGAATTTGTGAATCCGGATATGGTACCCTTTGTCTTGCCTAATGTTCTCTTAATTGCTGAGGAGTGCACCAAAGAAGAATATATCAAGCTCATTCTACCTGATCTCGGTCCTGTTTTTAAGCAGCAAGAACCAATCCAGGTATGTTAATATTATTCATATTACAAGTTTTGTCTTTGGTTTTGTTTTCCCTAAAAAATCTAATTGTTCTATTTCCCTTTTACAGCTTCACACACATTGCCCAGTCTGCTCTGTAGTTGTCCAGACAGTTAGTCATGATTGATTCAAAATATTTTTTTCCAGGGAATTCTCAAAGCCTCTACCTCTGCTTGTTTAGATGGGTTCTGAGGGTATATTGCATTTATAGATGAGATGAGATTTGCAAAAAAGGTTTAATTTACCACTTGGTTTTGGTTGATTGTAGAAGATATATTTGTAAGCATTTTAACACATATATGGGCAATCTGAGCAGGGTTGTACAGTACAATGTTTGCATATATTCTAACAGTAGATGAACCTGGGGTTTTTTGTCTGTAACCAGTTTGCTGACATTGGGATCATGGGTTGGAAAAATTGTAGCTTTGACACTCTCTAAGGAGTACTATTTATTCATATTAAGAGTAGTATTTGTATGAGGACTGTGCAAAAATTGGTGAAATTAATTTCATTTTTATTTGACAGATGTAATGTGTAAGTAAAATAAGCTGTTTTCCTTGCTGTTTAAATGTATAAAAGTATTAAGACATAGTTGTTACTGTAAAGGAGGAAAAATTTGCATCCTTTTGTCATCACCATGATGATTCCTGAGAAATCTGTCGAAAAGTAGGGCATTGTGACTCCAGACATGAGAGACAGGTAGGCATTCCTTTGAGCTCACTCCTGTGTGCCATTATTTTTCTGCAGAGCACTTAAAGGGCGAGGTAACCATAGCAGACCTTTTATTTCTGGGTTTCAGAAAACTGGACCAGAGAATTGTGGAGGCAGGGAAGGGGACAGTTGTTTAACTGAGAATACCTCAGGAAATTTGAACTACTAAATGCTGTTTATACTTGGTACTCTGAAGTTTTATGTTAGTTTTTTTGTCTTGAAAAAAGTCAATGTTTAACAAACCAAAAGCCAGTGAACATCTCATTTGTGCTGTGTCATCCTGAAAGGTAACTCTGTGTTATGCTGCCTTTAGCATTAGATTTGTGACACAATCCTTTCTGCAAAAAGTTTGTAGCAAAGTTATATCTGGAGTATAATGGACACAAAAGCTAGTTGATATCTTGAGAGATGAAGGAAGCAAAATACAAACTTGGAGCCAACTCATGAAGATGTATCTTTGCAAAGTTTTTCTGTGACTGTCTAGACACTTAAATTCTTACGCTGGTGTTTTTAATGCAAAGGACTACATGTCTTATTCAACTATTATTTCTATGGTCTTTTTAGTATGGCAAATTTTAAATAATCTAGGTCATGTTTTCAAAGTTAATATATCAGGAATTCTGGAAAAAATTACAGAGGTTCAGAGTGCCAGAGGATGGATTTCCAGGTGTGTGGGAGGATGGATTGAAGGAGAATAGAGATAGTGCTAAAGGCAATCTTGCCCCTGAGGAGTTGCAGCTGTACTAATTATCAAAGAGTAGGAGCAGCCCTGCCCTTAACAGGTCACTGTGTCCAATAAGGATGGTCTGATAAGGATGGGTTAGAAAAGAGTGGCTCAGCTAGTTGAGAGAGAGTTGAAGTCAGTTGGCTCTGTTGCTGTGAGGAGTAAGGGTCAGTATGTGCTGCTAGGGACAGAAAGGGTCAGGTGGTCATGTTAGGGACAGTAAGGGTTAGTATGTGCTGCTGGGACAGAAAGGGTCAGGTGTTTGTGTTAGAGACAGGAAGAAGTCAGCCAGCCATGCAGAAGAAAAAGGAGTCAGTGTTGTGAGGAGCTGCCTGTGAGAACTCACAGAGAGAAGGTATCAAAGTCTTACAGTAAGATAATAAACTAACAGTAAACAGTTGGTGGCCCATTACAGGGATGAGTTCTGACACAGGTGTGACTATCTTTGTACAAGGCAGAAATGTCTAGTTTCTGTGTGCTTGTAACCCCTAGAGAAGGGTATTCAGGGAGGCTGCCAGTGTTTCTCCCAAACACTCTTTCAAGATGTTACAGATTTGTATGATGGGCCTGTTGCTTGACTTTAGTAAGATATCTAAATTAGGAAATGAATGCATCATAGGAAAGCTGCTCTAGTTCAATATGAAGAAATTTAGCTAGTGTTCTTAATGGCTTTTTGTAAAGGAAATTCATAATATGAAAATGTAATATTTAGATAAACTTTTCCTTGGGGTTAGTGTGGAGTAATGCATGCTGTATGTTATAATCCTAGTTTACTCTGACGTAACTTCCCAGACAAACCATTAATTTGCATCTACAGGATTCCCTAGACAGCATAGGATGTGGTGTAAATTCATTTTCTAATTCACTACAGAGAAGTGTTCCCTGGCAAGTACTGGGCTCTGCATTGGTGAATGAAGCATTATTACTTAGAGTGCAGTTGTTGTTAATTGCAGCAATTAAATGGTGTGTATGGATCTGTGACTGTATCTTCTTGATTTTTACCTAAATAGGTAAAAAGCATCAAATGGGATCCTAGAAGCTTAAACCTAGAAACTGTAATTCCACAATATTACATGGTTAGGGTTATTAGAGAAGAACAGGTGTTAAGAGAACATGTAAGTCTTAAAAAGTCAAGCTTAGGAAAAAGATAGTGTATTGAAGAAAACCATAAAATGTAGCTTTAAAATTGGTCCTGTCCATTTCACCCTGATTGTCTCAAATATGGGGATATTGCATCAGAATCACTGTTCATGGAATGAATGAATGATTTTGCGTGTTTGGGAAATTATACATTTCCAATAAAAAAAACACATATTAGCTGCGCTATGAAAATCTATTTTTCTTCTCTGTAAAGAGAAAGGGGGAATAAATAAAAGGGGAAAATTTGTAATGGGGTCCTTGTACATTTCTCTTTCTACACTTCAGTGCTTCTGCCTATTTGACATAGAAGCACTGATTGCATGTATTTTTAGACAAAAACTTAAGTCTTGCTCTAGAATACTTGGCTTTTTGTTTTAAATGTGATATTTTTAAACATAATTTATCCATCCAATTTAACCTATTTTCTGAAAGGAGTTCTACCATCAATGGATGCTCACTGTCCCCTCTAGCACCTATCCAAGCTGTGATATGAATCCTATAAATTACATAGTGCTCTGTATTTGAGCCTGAGCTGGCTGAGTGATTTAAAATAGTGTTTATTTAACCTTTAAATGGCTCCTCTTAATCAAGATAGATCCCACTGTGCATATGTGCTATTCTAGTGGGTTTTTTTAAGTTAATGTGATGTGAATATTTTGTTTGAGATCTTTTTAATTTTATGATACACGATTTCCATAGTAAATAGACTAAAGGCTTTTTAGTCCATCTAGTAGCCATAATATTGTTTTTATTATGTCCCTATTTTGATTTTAGACACTTGGAATAATACAGCTTGTATATGTGGAGTTGTGATCAAGTGCTTTGAGGACAGAATTTGAGTTAGTTTTTTGGAAGTTCAGCTTTTGTAACAGTGATGTATGTATAAAAATTTTCTGTGGGTATATATTAACAAAAGACCATAAAGAAAATCAAGAACTATTTATAAGCTCTTGTAAGTAGAAACTAGAACTCCTTACTGAGTCATTATGATTTATTATTTCAGAAGAATTAGTTGAGAACATGCCTCTTTTGTTTGATTTGTTTTTGCTGTGTTTAAAATGCAATAACATGTCAAAGTGTTTTTTGTCTTCCATGCCTTCAGGCAAGCAACATGGTAAGTGATCACATTTACTGAGTTATAAGAAAACTTCTGAAGTTTTTTGATATGATACACCACACTTTAAATTGTTTATATCCTTTGCAGTTAAAACTTTTGGCTTCTGAATTGTCTTTCTTTGAATAGATATTGTTAATCTTCCTGCAAAAAATGGATTTGCTTCTAACCAAAACTCCACCAGATGAAATAAAGAACAGTGTTCTACCGATGGTTTATAGAGCCTTGGAAGCACCTTCAATTCAGATCCAGGTATAGTAGTTGTAGCCTTTATTTAAACCTTTTTTTTCTCTTTCAGCTGACATGCCAACTTTTTGTATACTCATGTGTTTGTTCACTTGAAAAGATAAAACTGTATGATATGCCTGAATGTTGAAAGGGATGAATGCTTTATTAAATAACATTTGTTTCTGGTAAAGTGTAATTTAGTTCCCTTGTTTTCTGGGATGGTAACCACTTGACTGTTCTAAAGCTCTTGCCTTAGATTCCTACTAGCCACCATAGCAGAAAGTAGGATATGCATTTATATTTCACTGCCTGTGCAGCAGAAACCATGCAGGCACGCATGCTTGTACCAGTCTGTGAGAGGTGGCTTATTCTGAGCTCCTGCTGGTGAGAACATATATGCTGACAGTTACCTCAGGAGACCTGATGTGCTGTAAAATCATATTAATTTTCATTCTGCTGATATTTTATATACCCATGTTTTGGTTTTTTTTTTCTTCTTAGGCTTTCTCTACTTTTCTAAAGCTCTTCTGGGGATTTTTTTTTTTTTTGATCATTCAACTGCAATTAACTTCCAGTTACCCAAAAACATTCAAGAGTGAGAGATAAAGAAACAAAGTATTTCTCAAAGGTGGTTTTGGATAATCAGATGTGACTTCTGCCTTTGCAAAGCCTTTGTAATATTAGGGACAAAGGTTTTTGTTTCTAAGTACCAGTCATGAATTTCTTTCTGCATCAATACTATGATTACTGAGGTGTTTACTTGCAGCATATACTTAGTATTACTGTCTTTTTTTTTTTGAGACTAGGCTGAAATTGTGTGTTTCCTTTTTCTCTGTTGCTAAAGTATGGTAAATCTTGATGTGATATTCTATCATTCAGTCTATCATTGTACTGCAGTATTATTGATAGTACTCATTGAAATTTTCTTGATTTATGTAGGAGATTGATATTTTGATGTAGTAACAACTGAGTTTTGTATAAAGGAGCCTTGTGAAAATGCAAGATATTCTTACTGTTTAAATATTGCTAATTTATGAATGCTTTTTTTTTCAAAAATCTATTTTTGAAGGTTCTGTATACATAACATGATGCTTTATTATTCTAGCTATTTTTAAGTGAGTCTGATATATTAAGGGCAGCTTAGTTGAACATATTTCCTTAAATATTTCCTTAAGAGGAAAGCTTGAGAAGACATTTCAAACTAACTGATATTGAGTTATATTAGCATTAATTTTATAATAAGTATGCATGTTTCTTTTTAAACTTACGTGGATTTCTTTTTTAGGAGCTTTGCCTAAACATAATTCCCACATTTGCCAATTTAATAGATTACCCATCAATGAAAAATTCATTAATTCCAAGAATTAAAAATGCATGTTTGCAAACTTCTTCTCTTGCTGTGAGTATCATAATAACATTCTCCAATATTCAGTAAATGTTGCAACCTTTACTTACTCTGGGTTTACAGTGTTGTGTCTTTAAAGAAAAGCCAATCATTGTGTTCTGATTTCTTACTGAATTTTTTTAAAACTTCTTAAAAGTGCAGAAGCACCATTTCTTTAACAATTTTTGAAGTTGTTAACAACTTACTGTGTTAGTAATACTGTGAAAATTACTGAAGTGAGTTCCACTGTGATACACATTGGCAATGTCTGCCATGCAGAAAGCTAAGTTTTTGTTAGCATAAAAACAAGCATTTTTCTTTCACGATACAAAAGCGTTTTTTAACTTGTCTTGAATTTTTCAGTACAAAGATTTTCTTACGAGTTTTGTAAATTTGTTTTGGGTTTTTTTTTTTTTTCCTATAAATAAAGAGTTTGTTTAATTCTTATGCTTCACAGGTCCGGGTAAACTCACTAGTGTGTTTGGGCAAGATTTTGGAGTACTTGGATAAATGGTTTGTGCTTGATGATATTTTACCTTTTCTACAACAAATTCCATCAAAGGAACCTGCGGTGCTCATGGGAATTTTAGGTAAGTAATACTTCCAGCTTTCTCTTTTGTTCTTTGGTACTGTAAATCTGAGAGCTTTCTGTGTTACCATTGAATATGTTTGCATAGTGTGTCCCTAAAATGACTATTAAAAACTTTCTGGTTCTTGAGTATGTCCCTGTTCAGTTACCTTATGTATGACATCTGAACACTAGCACATATATTTTCAATCCTCAGGGCCTGGTGCAGTTCTGAGTACTCACTGCAGTTCTTGGGCTGTGACACTTACATGGACTGGGTGCTTCACAGGGTCAGAGAGGCTCTTTTTCAGAGGAACATATCAACTGTCATCTTTCAGATGCCAGAGCTTTTGAGATGTTACTATTGCCTTCTTTTACTACTCTTGCATAGGAGATGCTATAAATGATGGTAAAAATCTGCTGTTCTTTACTGCAGGTTTTGTTAGACTCATTTTGTTGGATATGTAGGCACACAGTTGTGCCTGTGGGCAGAAATGGAACACAGTCTGGGTGAGGTCTCCCAAAATAACTAACAAAATCTAATGGCTTGGTACTTCTGGATGGGGAAACTCGCTCCCACTTGAGCTTTCCTACTGGCACTTGTGCTTGCCTATCGTAGGATGTGTGATTTTAGCAAATTGAATGGGCTTAAGGAGTTTAGATGATCAGAGCCACTGCCTAGGAGCAGTTGAGACTCCTTGGCCAAGTCTAGAAGACAGTGACTACTTCTTCTGACACCAAAGGGGTGTAGACCAGTTATAACAGCTCAGCTGCACTGCCAGTAACCCTCATTAAATGCTGTACTAATATGTGATGGCAGCATTATTTTTGTTTGCTCAAAAGCAGCAAGAAGGCATCTTATCTGTACTGATCTGAAACTGCCCGTTTCCCTTAACCCTTCCAGCTTTGACTTTTATTTACTATCTAAGAGTAGGAGACTCTGTTTTTTGCTTTAGTTGTGTTAATTCTGAATTCTACTCAGATACAGTGAGTAAGTGAATCCTACTTTGGAAATGATGGGCTGGAATCAGTTTTATGTACTCAGGCTCTCCTTTCTTTCAGAATCCCAATACCGTATTTGTCAGCTCTGTTGTACTACCATAGAAAGTAAGGAAAGCTGCTGTGTCTTTTATGCTAATATGTTCAGTGTTTGCCACCAGAACCTGGAATATTTAAGCAGAGGACTCTTCCTGTCAGAAACACTACAGAGTGTTTGGATGACATTGGATCTCTCACGCCTTCCAGGATTCTTTTTTCAGTGATTTTTAAAACAGATAAAGATTATGTATAAGTTCTGATACTGTGTGTAACAGTCCAAACCTTCTAGCTAACAGCGTTTGTAAAAACAAATCAGAGAGCAGGATGATAGCTAATCCTAGCTACTTGTAGTGTGCCAGGAGAGGGCGCATCCTTAGTTGATGCAGCTTGATTCCTCAAGTGGCAGTGTATCAGTTTGTGGCAAATCACTTGCTCATTGTCTATTCAAAGATGCATATTCTCAGATAATTGGCCAGAACATTACATTCACTAATATCAGGTTTCATAGCTGCAAATCATGAATTTAGACATCTTGCTCTGAACTGTAGCAAAGCCTCTTGCTGTTTCTTGTGGATCAGTACATAGCCTTTAAGATTCTCTTGGTTGTGTTTGTCCCTGCTTGCACACAGACACAGTGGTTACTCAGATGATCAATACATATGTGAATGTGTTACTTTGAGTTTGTTTGCATTGCTTACCAAACTTAACAATTTCTCCTATTTTGGTCTTCTGTGTTAGGTATTTACAAATGTACATTTACTCACAAGAAGTTGGGAATTACCAAAGAACAGCTTGCAGGAAAAGTATTGCCCCATCTCATTCCTCTTAGTATTGAGAACAATCTTAATCTCAATCAGGTAGGAACATGACTGTTTTGCATGCTTTTCCTTGACAATTACCAGAGAATAAATTTAATCTGTTGTCATAAAAAAATTCATACATTACTGCATTTCTATGTCTCTTGTGAAAATAAGCAATACAAAAACGCTTCCCAATTTTACAGTATTTCTGTGTTTGAAGCTTGTTATTTTTTAGTGTATTTAATTGATCTGGTGTAAAATTTCAAAATCAACACTGTCACCTTCCAAATACCCTGCAAAAGCAGTTAGCTACTAATATAATAAGTATTCAAATAAAATGCTATATTGCTATGAAATACTGGGAAAGGGAATAATAGGTTGGTTAGTTTGCTTGAAAATTAAACTGGTAATACTTGTATGTGGAGGTTTTGTCTCCATTGGCCCATTTCACTTTTTTAGTGGCATGTATTTTTCCCTGTTTCAGTATGCACTCTGCTTATAATATTCTACCTAATGCATGGTAACGAAGGTGGACTATAAACCATTTAAAAATCTACACTTTATCTTACATTGTGTATTGTAGGTTTTTGAGGTATTACCTGCTAAGTTACACCTATCTGAATTTCATCCTTGCAAAATCCAAACTTCTTATGTATTTCTTTTCCAGTTCAATTCTTTTATTTGTGTTATAAGAGATATGCTCAACAGATTGGAAGCAGAGCATAAAACAAAACTTGAGCAACTCCATGTCATGCAAGAGCAACAGAAGTAAGTGTTAAAGTTTTTATTGGAGAAGTAGTCATTTTTTGGCAAATGTTAGAGAACTCTAGCCATAGCAATAAAAAAATAAGGTAATTCTAAGTTCAGTAGTTGAGAATTATCTCAGATAAGCACAGTTGTTAGGAGATCTGCTTCTGTGTGCTAAGCTGTTTTCCTGTAGTTGCTGACAAATAAACCATATTAGAGAAACATAAACATTGCAGCCTTTTAGAAGGCTGTGATATTTTAAAGTATTTGGAGCTATTTTATGGGGCCTGATATGAGGTGAGATTTCTGAACAAAATAATTTGGGATATCCGAAATCCAGGTCACCCTGTTCAAAGGGAGAAATGAAGACCATGGGAAATTATTAGGAGATGTTTACTATTTCTCAGAGGAATATTTGCTGGTCTCCTGAAGGCATTATATAGAGGTGGTTGCTCTCAATGCAATTGTTTGGTGTTATTTAAATGCAGAAGAATGATCTGTGTTGTTAGATTGGTGTTGTGAATGTGATTGCAAAGTTGTCTTGTTGTAATATACTCTGCACTATGTAGATCCTTGGACATAGCCAACCAAATGAGTGGGGCTGAAGAGGCAAGATCTAGTGGTACAGGCAATCAAGTAAGTAACAATATGTAGCTTACACATAGAATATTGAAATTTAAGATCACTTAGTTGATATTTACATAGTTTAAATTACAGTATTTCAAATAATGAAGGTTTTTTTCTTTGAACTTAAACAGATTGACAAGGTATTCAATAATGGAACCGACCTTCTAACTAGTGGATCTGATAGTAAAGAGAATGAGATGTCATCAATACAGAGAAAGGTGTGCTTTACTTTATTTTGTTATTTTTTTCCTCCATCTGTCTAATACAAGGGTTGCAGAAAAAGAGTGTATGTAAATAGGTACCATATTTAAAGCTTTAGTAGAAAAATTAACTGTTTTTATATATAGCGCATCACATTGTATAGTCACATGAGAAGGTCCATGAAAAAATTCAAATCATATCCTTCAATTTCTATGTAAGCCTTTCCTTGAAAATCTCTTTGTTTTAAGTAGGCAGCAATTAGGATTGTAAATTTGTGGTAATTTAGGAATCCTTATGATAAAATGATAAAGAGAAATGAAAATAAAATGTAGAATTTTAAGTTGTAGCAGAGACTAACTTTTACTGTACCTTCCAAAGTTAAGTGAAAACAGTCAATATGTTGTTAAATACAAGAAGCGAAGGAAAAACATAGCAGAACATAAAATATAAGCAGTAATACAGTAAACATAAGCTTTAAGTGTTGTAAAATTCTTTTCGTACTAAGAATTATGGAAGTGGCTCCCCAGAATCTATATGCTTTATCATTTCTCCTTCTAATTATCTGAATCCTTGCATTAATTTTACACTGAGGGGGAATGATTTAGTTATTTCATCCTGCATTATTAAAAGTGGAGTCAAAATCCTCAAAAGACTCTTGAGCAGTTTTAAAATGAAATTCCCATTTCAACTCCATGGTCAATTGCATTTCTAGATCAAGTTAGTAACCATATGAAAACAAAAATTGAAGAACACTTTTTCTTATGCCCAGTATTAAGGAAACAAAGCTAATGTGGTTTTGCTGATATATCTCTTTTAGTTGAGATCTACCCAAATTTATCATTATGCTGCTCTTAATACTATATTTGCTTAAAGTACTTTCTAGCAATATGGTAAATATTATAGTATATTTCACTTACTGCCTTTTTCTTTTGTGTAAATAATTGTATTGTTTACCACATATTATTGAAACAGTGCTAGTATGAAATAAAAAAATATGAATGTCGGAATAAACATTTTGTGCAGCTTACTACCAGTACTTTCCCTTTTAAAGGCCTCACTTACACTGGAAGAGAAGCAAAAGTTAGCTAAAGAACAAGAACAGGCACAGAAACTGAAAAGCCAGCAGCCTCTTAAGCCCCAAGCAACTACAATAACACCTCCAGTGAAGCAGGTGAGAGAGAACAAACAACTGCACTGTTTCCGTTGGGGCTCTGATGCTTTTTCAAGGGCTGTGTATGCATTTAGCATGTTTTTCCTCCTGTGAGTCACTTTTTATTCTCTGGTGGTACAATGGCACAGCTGAGAAGCTAAATTAAATTTTCATGTGCCTTCCATTTTCATCATTAGCAATACTCCCACTTTTTAAATTGCTAGAGTTTCCAAGGGTATCATTATTATCAGAAGGTTATTGTACTAGATAAGGAAAAAGGACATGCTAAGAAAGGTTTTTCTCTGAAGAGTTTATTAAGGAAGTATATATAGGATTTGGGAATAGGAATGGGGCATTTAAGCAAACAGTCACCGTAGTGCTTTGTGTGTAGTCCTGGATGTCAATTTAAACCTGCATGACAATTAGTTCTAAGTAGCAAAGAATACAAGTAGTGTAATTTCTCTTGTGTGTTATTACATTTCATGCCCAATTCCATAAAGTGCATTCTAATTTCTGAAAAACTAATACCAGGTCTGCAGGGGTAACAACAAAAATACTGTTGCCAGTGTCTGTACAGGTAAAACATTTAACTGCATTTTATGTGTTCTGCAGACAAAAGATTTGACAGATACCTTGATAGATAATATGTCATCTTTGACCAGCCGTCCTATCAACCAAGCTCAAGTTGCATCTTCAAACAACTTCTCTTCCATTCCTTCTATGGGTGTTGGAATGGGATTTTCATCGCCCATTGACAACACAAAGAGAAATATGACAAATGGACTAAATACAAATATGGGGTTTCAGACTGCTGGATTCACCATGGGAGCAGGTCTTGCTACTCAGAATTTCTTCAGTGGTCCAAGTGCAACAGGAGCAAATAAGATGAACATGGTACCACCTGCCAATATGCCAAATTACAGTCCTATGAATGCTGCATCTGCAATCTCTCCACTGACACAACAAAACAGACCCCCAGATATGTCTGCTTTAGATAATCTTTTTGGTCCTCAAAAACCCAAAGTTAGCATGAAGCAGTTGGCTCAACAGAAATCAAGCCAGTGGGTTAATCAGTTTGTGCCACCACCAGGGTCCCCAAATGCGAGCAATACAGCCTTGGGACCTCAGATGAACATGATAGTACAGCCAGGCTTTGGTATACAGGGTAATCCTTTCTTTTCTCCTCAGAACTTCGCACAACCAGCAAACACAATGACAAACAGCAGCTCAGCTAGCAATGACTTAAAAGATCTTTTTGGGTAAAGTGTTTTGTTTTCTTCCTTCAAAGATTGATGAAATTTGGATCATGGGTAAGCTGATTAACATCTTGTTTTGATTAATAAAAGTATGACTTGGGGAAGCTTTCAACCCAACAAAGTAAAGACTTTTGGACAAGAAAAAAGGCTGATGTTTCATTCACCTGGTACTGCAGTGGAATTGTGTAAGTGCAAAGTCATCTTACATGCTAAAGATTTCCTGTCTCTTTACCAACATGAGAGTGCTGAAGGTAGGATGTGTATATTCATCTGAAAAACAAGTATATTGAAATTAGTCAGAGGTGAACTCGGTCAAGTCCAATGAAATTTCCTACAAAATTTTAAGTTCAGCAAAAATGCTTATGGGATAATGCTGCTATTGGATGCAAACCTGGAGAATTACTCTTGTTGCCTGAATTTATAAGAAGCTGTCATTTTGTCCTATGACAGTTTGCAAAAAAAAAATTCTTACGCTGGCCTAAAAATTTTGATAGCCAAATTTTATACAGCAAGCAATCTAACCAATAACTGTGGGTGAGACTAAGAAGGGAGCATATTTTGACTTTCTTCTCTCATGTAAGCTAATGTAATGAATGTGGTAGTAAACTATAACAAGATTCATCAGGTATAAGAAGTTGTTCTAAAATTTGATTCAAGTTTGGGACAGAGTAAGAACACTGCTTCAAAGGTCATGCTGGTTTACAATCTCTTTTCTAATGCCAGATCCTTGTTACAAGCCCCATAGCAAAAGCAACATACCACTTAAGCAGGATTTTAAAATACATGTGGTGATTTAATCACATTTACCATATATTCTGTTTTAGCTAGTATGCTAAATAAGATACTGCTTCTAACTGATGTGAAAAAAACCCCTGTAGTTATGAAACCTCAAAAAATGAATGTAAATGTAAAATTCACGTGTTGACTGCCCCAACTGTGTAACTAAGCACACATTACACAGTTACACAGAAATATCTTGAATTAATTAATGATTTTTGGCTCAATTGAGACAATTATACAATTTGCACAGGGTTTTCTGAAAAAGCAGACTGCCATAAATTGCCTTGACTGGAGTGAACTATTTCATTTTACTTTTGGTTTAAATCAAGTCCTTATGAAGGATAGATTGACATGAAGTGATTTCTCAAATATAGATTTGTAAGCTCTAGAGTATGATAAATACACAGGTATTGCAGATCCTTTTTATTGTATTATTCTAAATTCAATAAAGGTCTCCAGAAATCCAAATAGTAGTTTCTTCTACTTCCGGAAGGTGTATGTTCAGCTTGCCCATGGTGGAATCTCTGCTCTGCCAGATGCTACTGTTGAGTTTTAACTTTTATTTTTTTTCCTAAGAATTTCAAGAGCTTTCTTACCTAGTATTTTGAAGACTATAAATGGTTATTTTGAGAAGGAAAGAACTAGTTACCTTTTTTACCGAAAGCCTACCTGCTTTATTTTTCCAAGCCTTTCACTGAAGAAGCTTTTGTTTGCTGCTTAAGAAACCAAAGGGCCTTATGCTGTAAATATGACTTGTACTTTGTTATACTTCCACAGTTCGGAGCCATGATAGCATTAAGCATATTTCTTAAAGAATTCTTAATGTATTATAGCTGCTGTGTTAGTTGTATTATTTTAAAATACCTGGGACCAATAAATTCTGGTCTGGAAAACATTGTGATGCTTATATGCTGTTAATATTCATGGTGAGCGTTGTAGGTTATGTTAAAATATCCGTGTAGATTTAAGTACAATACTACAACTGTTGAAGTATTTAAATTTATTTACAGTTGCTGGCACTCATGTCTTCTTTTATGTCAACCCCTTTGAAGCTGTGTTTTGTTAGGGTAACCTAAGGGAAGCCCTTGAAGAATTACTTGAATCTGCATTCCTCTAAATTATTTGAAAAAAGTTTATATTAAAAACATCTAATAGGACTCTACAATGTATTAAATTAATACATCTATGGCAAAGGCAGTCTTAAAGTCAGTGTCCTGATCTGGGGTTTTGGTCACTGATCTCGCTGGACTGGGAGCTTTTCAGAACTGGATTTAGTTAAACCTATTGCAGGGAAAGTAGAAAAAAAATGGTGTGATTTCATATACTAGACCTCCTAAACTGTGCGGTTTGGGGTATGTGCTTTTGGCATGGGCTATACCAGAACATAATCTATTCTGTAAGAACAAAAAAAAAAAAAAAAAATCCTACAGGTTCAAATTAAAATAAGCTCTTTTATGAAATGGTAATGAAATGCACTTCTGACTCAAGCAATAGGACTTTTTTCCATTTATGTTTGAAAGCATAACTTTAATTTCTCTTGTTTGCCACAATTTTCGGAATGTCCAGAGTAGAAGAACAACAAAGAAAACTAGAAAGGGTACTTAAAGAAGCTCTAACAAAATCTTCCAGTTATTTAAAAATTTAAGAAAAAAACCAAAAGCAGTGAGCCCAATCCTATAGTTGCTTCTTGCTTAGTGTAATCAGGAAACTCAGTGTGTTTGAAGTTCTTGAATTATTTCTTCTTAACTTAAAGGAAAAAGGACTTGTAAGAGGTAAGTCATGATGGCCATGTGCTACTTGGCTCCTGCTACCGTAGTTTTTCTTTAGGAATCCTTAGCCAACTGATCTCTCCACTTACAAGTCGTGATTCTGAGGCCATGCAAGAGGCTGGAAGACTTGTTTTGTGGCCAGAATGAATTGTTTGAGAGCAGGAGTTGTGCTTCACATCCAGGTTGGTTTTTGGGAAAGACAAAGGGGAAGGGACAATGTTATAAAATGTGGGTATTCCAGGAGTCTCCTATGGCTGAACTTGGATGGAAAGTAGTGCTACATCTAGCTTGGCCTGAAGCAGAGGGTCTGCCTAGTCCTCATGTAAAGTAAAGCAGAGAACAGGTTTGAAATTGGTACCTGATTTAGAAAGTACAAATGCTGTAAATTCAATAGTAACCTGGTAAGAAGTTATTCTTTACAATGCATTGAGGAAGACAGTAAATTACACTAAATTTCTGCCCTAATTTAAAGGAAAATATGTGAAAGCCTGTCAGGTTATATCATCACAGCAGCCACTGTGTCCCTACTCTCCTCACCCACTGTGAGCATGTGTTCATTCTGCTGTGGAAATTAGGACGGGGTCTGGGCTGAAGTGCCCAACCCATCTAGTTAACATTCATTTGTAAAGGGGAGGTAAAGGAAAAGGGCATAAGCTCCTATTCTTTGATTCATCTATATTTTGTTTTCTACAGAAGGAGAAGTTAAGTGAAAATAGCTGCACATCTTACATCAGTTGTGCTTTGGCTGCTCTGGTGTATGCTAAATGAACGTGACTGCACCAAGACAGCAGTGTTTTCCATATTTGAGCTCTTGGTTCCATTTGGGTTTAAGTATGAAAGTGTCTGAAGCATCCTCTCAAAACTCAGTCACAGAAAACAAACTAATCCTGCTAGAGGGAAGGACTGTATTAAAGAGGCTTGAAAAACCTTCTCTACTTGGGCTAATGGAGAACCTTAAAACTACTGAGTTTCAGATTAGCTTAGAAATCCTTTGTTCTGAATCTCGAGAAAAACTAGGAATGAAATGACACAGGTGTCACTGGAGGAGGGAACCAATTTTCTGTTCCTTTTCATCACACAAGTGGTGTGAGTAAGGCACAGAGCAGCTCTTGGAACTTGCTTATGCTGGAGAGCAGCAGTACCAGGGGAGTCTTTTGAAAGTAAAAGAGTCCACCAATTACTTGGGAGATGAATTTTACTGGGAGCATGAGTAGATACTAGGTTTTTTTTATTAATGAAGATACTATGTTCTCCTCACTGTGAATAGAAAGTGTTGTGGGGAAGTTGTGGCCTTACACAGGTGTTGAGTACCCCAAGTAAAAGGGTGAATTTTTGGATGTGTAGGTACACAACATTTCATGCCTTATTCTTTAAAACTTTCCTTTTCTGTTTTGTCTTTTTAGCAACAACTGGTTCACATTTATGTGGAACCTTAACAAAAACCTTGATTGCCTTTTAAAATAAGAAAAATGTATGTTGACTTTTGTATTATAACCTGTTGTAATGTTATCTGTGTCTGTAGACAAGTAAATGTGATTATATTCTAGATCATAGGATTTTGAGATTTTTCAGTTCAACTGCACCAAAAAAACAGATTAAATGAGAACTTAGATTTGAATCAAATTTGATAAAGCTTCCATACAGGCTAAGAATTATATGATACTTGTGTTATCTATTATAAATAATACATACTTAGTCTGCCTACATCTGTGTGACTTGAGCAGAAAAGGAAAGTTTTTTAAACATAAGTTTATGATCACTGGATCTTGCATTACAATGAAGTTTTTGGTCTTTGGAGTGACCTTTGCTTACTGATTAGGGTTTTTTTATTTGGGTTGGGTGGAATATTGGTGATTTATGCCATTTCCAATGAAAGAAGCATAGGGAAGGGGAGTACAGAAAAAAGACCCTGTTGTTTATGTAACCCTTTTTCTTTGTTAAGAGATATGCTGCATTTTATATATTCATTGTGAAATTTTCCTTTGGAAAGCTGTGAGGAAACCTATATAGAGAATTTCAGATGAGTTAGCTGATTTTCAAGTGAGGTTCTGCCTTGTACATTACCTTCCATTAGGTTTTGACTGCTTTTCAAGAAAATTACACAAGGCAGTAAAACCTTGGATTCGAACACCAAATGCTCTTGCCTTTCAGGCTTCACCCTTGTATCAACATAACAAATGAGCCCTGAAGTTGTATTGTCTTCAAGTTCTCTGGAATAGGTCTAACTGCTGTACAGATTTCTGAGATGAAGCTGTAAATCAAAATGTGTTATAGTGAACTCAGGCCTTGTGCAAAATATTTAATACTTGTTTATTTGTCTAATTGTACAGTCTCTGTTACTAGTGACAGTTTTATGTTCTGATTGTAAAACATTAAAATTCTCATGAGATTTATAGTGATACTGTTGTTGTGTCAGCTGTGATTCATAAATAGAACTGTCATAGCATGGCATTAGTGTATATCTGGTTTATTGGGCAGCTTTTCAAAACCAAAATTATTCTTGTATCAACTTTTAGATCAGTTACTTTAAAGCTATGTAAAAGGTACAGTGACAGTTTTGGGAAATACACATCTCTTTGTACTCTGAATTAGGTTGCCTATGGAAATAAACGAATTTTCATATTTTCATGTTGGAAGATATTTTTATTGATAATTTTCATTAAATTACCAGTAACTTCTGTAGAAAACTTTTTCCCTGTACATTTTGTTTGAAATACATTTTATCCAGTGTACTTCTAATTTCTTAGAGATTGCTGTCCAGACATTTGTACAATGTCATCACATATTGCCTTCATGCAGTGGATTTAAAGTTCTGGGGAAAAATTGCTACACTAGATGCCTCTAAAATTAGCATTTGCTCTTTCCTGATGACACATAGTGATGTCAATTTGCATTTTCACAGCTCATTGACCCAGAAACCAGCCCTTTCTTTAAACCTGAGTTTCAAGATACACTGCTTTGGCAGGTTAGAGTTTGCCAGCACTCTGAAGAAATGTATTTCTCAGCTTTTTGTGTGGTATAAATTGTTCAAGTACAAGACATCTGATGGCTGATCTGATCAGAAACATAATTGTTGGTCAGAGAATGTGTGGGAGAAGGGAGTAAAATAACAAAAAGATAGATTAGGTGAAAATAGAAAGGTAGCATCAGCTGGCTTCAGTTCTCTGTTTTCACTTGCTGAGGATGACAGCAGCCCCTTTCCTTCCACAGCTGTATCCATCCAGTGAGCACAGTCCTGTCATCTGCCAGCCCCCTGCTGAGAAAATGCCTGCCTTAATTTGCTCAGCTAATCACAGTCCTGATCTGACTGGTGTGTCCTTCACCCTGGTAATGTTCTTTTTGTCTCTCCATTTCTGGATATTGGTAGGATCCATAACTCCTACCTGTTTCTTAAGCTAGAAGGTTTCAAGTGCTGAAATCTAGATGTTCTGGCTTGGTTTGTTGTGGAGTAAAGTTGACATTTTATAAACCCTTTCATGAATCCAGATTTCAGACAGGGAAGCTGGAAATATTTGCAGATGTTTTTTCTTTGCCTGGAATCCTTTGATATTGGCAGTTAATTGTCTATATTTCATCACCTGAGTATGTCTAGTCCAGCCTTTGGATTTGTTATACACCAGAATTTTAGATCTTTTTTATGTCAGCATTTGTAGAGCTGTGTTACCAGCTGGAGACCACTGCAGTTGCTCAGAGGTTTTCAAAATGGTTCATAAGGTAACAAGGTGAATTCTGATTTCCTGTGCCAAACTGACAAAGCAGGAATTCAGTTTATACTCCTACCCATGCACAAACCCAAGAACAGCTCAAAAAATACTAGTTATTTAAGCTCTAAAATAATTTAGTAAGTGTTCTAGACATAAAATGTAAACCCTAGACTTTAAAAAAACCAACTTATTATTTTTTCCTCTGTTGGACACCTGCCTTTGAACTGCACTTACGGATCTATTGCAGTTTCTTCCTGCAAATTAAGGCAGGGTGGGTGTGGAATGATTGGAAACTCAGAAATGGTAGAAGTTTAATGACCTATCTATATTTACGTACCAATTTTTTAAAGTTTGTTTTTTTCATTGTCTTGCTTGTGCCTTAATTATTATTTGGCTTTTTATGATGGAATTTCTTAAAATATTTTGCACAACATCAAAAGACTAGGTTTTACACTCTCCTGCAATAATTAACCAAATAATCAAAGAAGAACTTCCATTTGTAACTACATCAATGAAAACATTATCTTTTACCTGAGAAGCAAGGGGTTTGGGAGCTGAAGTTATGACACAGGCAGCCTTTGTTCATGTCAGTCTCTGTGTCTCCTTGATGCAACCTAGTACTTTTAAGAGTAAGCAAAATCAAAACCTTGAAGAGCTTGCTTTCCAGAAGGTGACTTCAGAACCAAACACCACACAGAAGAATTACTGATTAATTGCAACTCCTGGTGTTGCCATGCAGATCAAATAAGCGCTTACCTATGGCACCAAAGCTGTTAATAAGTATTTTAACCAATGTCACAGCAGTGACCACAAATATTGCAAATAAGAAAATGCTAATGAAGCAATCAGAAGCCTCTGTAATTACTGTAAGTTTCACTTGAAGAATCTATCCTAACTTGGCACCAGATAGATATTTTCACTATTTTTATTTTTTAAGAATTTCCAAAAATAATTGCGTGTTACAATGATTTTGACTTACAATGAATATCTTAGAAAATCAAAGCAGGCGAATCAGGAAAAAATAAAATTAGACTAGAATATAATTTTCAAATTTTTGTTATTGAATGGGAGCTTCAGTTGTAGACCTTCCTCAAATAGCCTTATGCTAAAAACTCTGGCTTTACTTGGCTACAAAATAGTATAAAGTACTAAAGTACTAGCATTTTAATAATTCTGTGCAGGATTAAATTATTGTTTATCTATTATTTTTTATTATCTGGCAAGCAGAAAACTGATAAATCAGCTGGTTTTTTTCTTTTTCAGTTTGAATCCTTACGGGTTTTATGCTTCCTAAAGAATTCATTGCTTGAGTCTTACTGATTTACAACCATTACAAATAAAAGATTTGCAGTGAAATAGCATATATTTGTTGCAATATCTTCGTTGCACATTTTGCAAACTGGAGTCATACAGCTGAAATGCTTTGATTTAGCAAACACAAAATATTTCTTAAGCTAACCAGATCATTAACTGGCTGCTGGGTAGGAAGTGTTACCTTATTCAATTAATTATGTAGGTAGGATAAAGCTGTGATTTCCTGTGCATTGCAGAGATTAAATAAGCATGTCTTAAATTTTGTGTCTCTCTTCACACATAATTTCCAATTTAACTGAGCTCAATCCCACATGTTTCCTTTGGAGCATGTTCCTGCTACTTTTCCAGGCTCTTTCTGGTGAAGCCATTTCTTGCATCTACTTTTTCTTTGATTTTTTTCCTGCATCAGAGGTCCCAAGCAGTGCACGGCTGTGGAATTAGAAGGGGGAAAAAACTCAGGGTCTTCTGACAATTTCCTTTTTCCGATGATGCTTGGTAAAGGAATACTGAATTTATGCCAGTGACAGCCTGAATTTTGGGCTTGTTGCTTTTCAGCTGGAGATTGTTGCTATGCTATGAGGGGCTGCAGAAGGGAACCTGACATGAGGCTCTGCATCTCAGCTTGATGGTCCAGCTCTGGCAAGGCAGTGGAGTGGGCTGATGAGTAGGCATTGGTCTGCCCTGTTTTCTATTCTACAGGCAGCGTGAGCCTGAAGTAGAAATGTTAAAAGCAGCTGCAGATGAGTGACCCAAAAGATTATTGAATCCAGATGCCCCAGTGATAAAGCAACCCTTCAGTGCAGAGAGGCAGAGTTCAGGGAATTGCTGAGGGAAAAAAAAAAACAAAATAGGAAGGACAGTGGAAACTGTAATCTGCAAAATGCTAGAGTATCTAGTGCCTACCCTGCAGAGTTGGACCTATTTTCTTTGAAATTGTCTCCTGCCCACCTTTTCTCTTCACATTCTTGCTGCCTGTGCAGGGAGTGCTGGTGGATGCTGTTTTATGAAAGAGCCTGATTGGTCCTGACAACTATTGCTGCTGCTGATGGACAGCTGCTTGATCTTTGATTTAATTTAGTCTTAACACTCTTATTGGAATGTTTCATTAATCTGTGATTGTTTTTTGTTGTAAATTACTATTTTGTTATATTGAATGACTGTGATGAGGAATTTGAATAAGTCACATTTTTTCCTCCACTCCCTGTTTTGCCGTAGCAGACATTTTCTAATGAAAGGTAGGTCAAATATTAATATGTAAATATGCATAAAGATTAGAGACATTAGGAAGGAAATGTATTAAATCTGTGTGTTTTAAAACAAAATTTATTTGAACAAGAGTAATCGTAATTAAAAGTTCTGTCCTGAACTGTGAATTACTAGTCACTGTGTTTTTCAAGAAGATGCAGTTGTTTAAGTTCATTTTTCATCAGTACGTTTTAATACAGGCATTGTGAGGGAAGAGGTTTTGCTTTTTGTGTTGCTCAGTTTGAAAAACAAGTGGGTTTAAATTGAAATACAGCTAGTTTCCTTTCCATTCTTTCAAAAGAGCTGCAGGTGATGCTAGGTGTTTAGCCAGTGATTTCAGCTAGCTTAGCAATGGAAATACCTTTAAAAGTATGGCAAAAGCATGGCAAAAGCATGTGGGTTTTAATTTTTTAGCTTATAGATTGTAAGAGATTTGACATATTTAGTCACAGACATCTGCTAGTAGATTTAACAGTTTACACTTAAGATATTGATTTAAAACAAATATCTTGCAAAAGAAAAACATGTTTATAATTTTAAGCTGTCTCTATGTCAATTTTAAAACAAGAAAAGGTTACATGAAAGATATTCTGGAGCTTATTTTATTCTAACATAGCTAAGCTCTAACTGCAGTTCAGCATTAACAATTCAGCTTGAGAATTTGTAGATTTTCATCTCTGTTTTTAAGATTAATGTGACTGCTCAGTTGTCCTTCTCTCTCATTCCTTCTCAGTCCTTTGCAACTTCAAACTTGTTACCCACTTTCCACCCTTGTTTGGTAACAGTGTTATTAAAATACCAAAGATAAAGTATTAATGTAAATTTTATGGTAATTTTTGCCTCATTAGAGGAACCAACTTTGCACAGGGAAGAGCTGTTGGTAGAGATAGCTCTGGTTAGACACTGGAAAATTCATGTAAGGGAGAGCCCCAGGAAGGCAGGTTTTATAAATTCTGATCTTCATGTAGTAGTGAGTTTTATTATCACGTCCACAGTTTTGGTTTCCAAAAGTATTTAAAAGGAAAAAAAGATTCATTAACTTCTATCATGATGTTTTCTTTTAAAGAGTTCAGATCTAGGATTAGAGAAATGCAATGAGCTACATGCTATAATTTAGTGAATCAATCAAGAGACTATTCACAAATTGGATATCACCACAGCTAGGTAAGAATAGTATGTTTTAACTGCACTGCCTGGCATAGGTTATCTGTTAAACATGGAGAGAAGATAATAGCAAAGACTGTAAAATGTATTTTTCTAGTAAGAGGAAAAGGGAAAACACAAATTTGAAGAGTTGGAATGATCCTTTGAGTAACTTGTAACTAAAAGATTTCTAAAAACATCAAAGCAGTTACTTACTGAT